AATTGACGGCCTCGGTTTAGCACACCGCTTTACTTCCGATGGTCGCGAGTTCGATTCCTCGCATGGCACAAACATTTGTATTCATAAGTACAATTGTTTCATCAACATCGAAGCCTCGAATCATATTTTGCAATGGTGATTTTTTTCTATAAATCATGAAACTATTGCAATTATTCAAATATGTAATACTATTAGTTATAGAAAACATTACCAACGAATTAAACATGCTGTTATTAAAAAAAAAAATGAGATAGCCACTAAATTTTGAACTCGTGTGAAACAAGCTTGAGTGACTGGAATAGTAGCTATTTATGTAAAACTTCACAAGGCTAAGTTGGCCATTTCATAACTTACAAGACAAGTTGCTATAACAAGCCGTAGTAATATAAACTTAAAAATATTCTTAACAAAGTTTACATTATTAACGAATACATCGGTAGTTATAACTTTTTGACATCTTTTAGTTGAATTGAATTTTTTCTCTAGAACTTAATTTATTATTGCAGTAATATTTCAGTAGCGAGTTTTAATAGATATTTTATCATCACCATCATAATCATCATAATCATCATGAATAGATGTTTTTACTACTTATTTATTCTGGTTTTGTATTATTTGATAGTTGGAACTAACACAGAATCTTGACCATAAAAAGGTCTACCACGTTTTTTTTTTAAGAAAACTTAATTTTCTCTGCTGTATTTGCATTTCTAATTTATCGAAAATGACTGCTCTGAAAAGTTATAAATATGAGTAATTTATATTTTTTACGGAGTCTCAATATCGATAATAATAATAATTTTTCAGGACATTTCACATAGCGCCATCTAATTCCTAGCTAAGCAGAGCTCGTGTTATGGGTACTAGACAACTGATACAAATGCATCGATACATTTATTTTTGTGCGACAATCCCGAATACGAACTTGTGACCATCTGAAGTAAGACAGTGCTAAACCGCTAGACCACTGAGAACGTCATAGTAATGAGTCTATTCTGCATGAGTCTTGTCGCATAACCATTAATACTTATTCTTCACAATCTTTAGAATTCTTGTTGGTGGCTTAAATACATATGTCTACGTGTCCCGGGACTGGGGGTGGGACGATCACTGGTAAACTTAGCAGCGGGTAGATGATAAGTAACTTTATAATGGGCAAATATATTCGTTTACCTTCACACATCTTCGTTTGTTGCTGCTATTTTTAGTATATATATATATATATTCGTAAATAATTATTTTTACTAATATTATAAATTTTGTCTGTCCCGCTTTCTTTCTTTCCCCGCTGTGTAGTATAGCCATAAATACTTACTTAGTGTTCACAATCTTTAGAATTCTTGTTGGTAGCTTAAATGCACATATGCCTACGTGTCCCGGACTGGGGCTGGAACGGATACCAATACTCGTATGGTATGTGAATCGCACCGTACGTGGGCCTTGAATAATACATTTTGCACAACTGTGGCCGTGTTGAGTAAACTTGGGTCTTAAAACACAAGCGACAGCGGGTGAAATATCAAACTACGATATGAGAATGGCCCCGGCCAATAGTTCGGTTGAAATATAATATTATGATAAAATACATCCTCGGCCGATGGCTCTTGTTAGATTCCACGTACTGTATAAACACTTTTATTCATGAGTATGATTGTTTGTACCGGCCTGGGTGTTTTCTATGTATATAATAATATTTTTGATATAATTATTATATAATAACAATAATTATATCAAAAATTTGTGGAAATTTAGAGACATGCTCTATAGTTAGAAAAATTTTAAATAGTCAAAATTCCAAACATTCCTACTGATTAAATTAAAATATGAGAACAAGTGACTTGGTAAAAAACTTGTCCGTGTCTTTACAAAACCAGCTATAGCTGAGAAATAATATATATACATAATAATAATCGCATCGTACGTAAATTTTTGCAGGAATAATAATAATCATAATCTCAGGACAATTCACACAGCGCCATCTAGACCCAAGTTAAGCTAGCCAAAGCTTGTGTTATGGGTACTAGACAACTGATACAACTACATACATACAGATATTCTTTTTTTCATAAATACATATAATATTATACATAGAAAACACCCAGACCGATACAGACAGTCATACTCATGAATACAAATGTTTGTGCTGTGCTAGGAATTGAACCCGCGACCATCGGACGTAATTCTATAATTCTATTCTATTCTATTCTATTCTATAACACAAGCTCTACTTGGGACAAGATGGCGTTGTATGAATTGTCCTGAAATGTTATTATTATCATCATTACATAGTATAAAACAAAGTCGCTATCGTTGTCTATCCCTATGTATGCTTAAATCTTTAAAACTACGCAACTGATTTTGAAGCTTTTTTTTTAACACATATAATGATTCAAGAGGAAGATTTTTATATAATTATAATACATGTACACCCGTGCTAAGTCGGGGCGAGTTCCTAGTTATATCATCATCGCAGCCCGGAAGACGTCCACTGCTGGACATAGGCCTCCTCCAAAGATCTCCACGACGATTGGTCCTGCGCTGCTCGCATCCAATGCCTTCCGGCGATCTTGACCAGATCGTCGGCCCACCTTGCTGGAGGCCTTCCCACGCTGCGTCTTCCGGTCGAGGACTTTACTGCCCCAACGGCCATTTGTCCTACGAACTATGTGCCCTGCCCATTGCCACTTCAGAATCGCAATTCTTCGGGCTATGTCGGTCACTCTGGTTATATATATGTAACAAAATATTTTATTTAGTCTGAGATGCAAGCCGGATGTTGTAATTTCATGATCCTGGTAATATAGTGGTTTATTACATTAATTTGCGATCGTTTCTGTTTAGCATAATGCTTTATTATTTTATAACTGCGGCTTCGGTTCACGCAGAATGTAAATATTCCTTAATGTATATGCTTGTTTAACTGCGTGTCTTTCTGTGTGTATCTTTTATATCTACTGAATAAAAAAACTTAATTATGTCTATTAGAAGTCTAGTATTCGTAGCACAGCCTCTACTAAGTTTCGGACTAGTGACAGCTGTGAGAGCTTCTAATCATGGCTTGAACAATATATATTTTAACTAGCTATTCCCGTGATTTCGTTCGCGTGGAATTTAACTTTATTTTTCTAAAATAAAAGTAGCCTAAAGACCTAAAAATTATTTCGTTCGTCTTAATTTATTAGATCAATTCTGATAGGTTCAAACTAATACATTTACATCCTGCATCACCCCTTATTTTATCCCCATGGGGGTTGAATTTATCAAAATCCTATTTAAGCGAACGTCATTATCATAGTAGCTCTAATCTTTAATTTCATTTCAATCACTCGAAAATCTAAGAAGATTTATACAATCTTTCATTCTCTATTTTATTCCCTTGGGGGTAGAATTAATCAAAATCCTTACTTAGCGGATGCCTACGTCATAACATCTACCTGCATACCAAATTTCAGCCCGATCCGTCCAGTGGTTTGGGCTGTGCGTTGATAAATCACTACGTCAGTCAGTCACCTTTGAGTTATATCTATTTCGATTAGATAACTATATTAATAACACAATAATAATTTTAATTTATGTTAACAATTATTTCCATAAATAAGAATATTAAAATTAAAATCAAACTTTCTTTTGTTGTTCATTTAAGTTTATCGCTATGCTTATGAAATGCACCACAGTCGCTAGAAAAGGTTTTACCGGTAACGAAGTTAGTACAGGTGCCAATTTTGAACTAGCCTTGTTTTAATACATCTCTATTTTAGAGTGTAGTCAGGATAGTGGATAGTTTGAATAGCTTTGTGCAGCTTTGATATTTTGTATTCACTTTTGTATTTTATTTGTTTGTAACAGATAAACTCAAAAAACAATTGATCAATTAAGAAAAAACTTTTTCTATAGATAAATTACTACAGTTATACTATACTATACTACAGTTATATTATCAGCGAGTAATTTCATAATAATTGTTTATTAAGTAAAGGCGTTTATTTTTAAATAAAATTCAGTTCATTCTACTATTTGATAATATTTCTGTAGATGAAGAATTTTAAATATGTTAAGTAATTATTTATTCTTGTATAGGTATATATATTGTTATTAAAAAAAACTTTCCTCTTTTTACATATATGAGTTAAGTATTCTATATTTACATCAATTATGATATAGAATATTAATCTCAATAATATATATATATATATTTGTTTTTTACTCTTTTATAATTACTATAGATTTGCTTTCAATAGTCAAAGTACTAGTCAAAATCGTTAATTCATTAAAAATTATATCATTTATACTATGAACTCAATTTTCCGCACTAAATTAATGGTTTCAGAATAAATCAATGATTAGCAGTTTAAAATATATCGAGGAAAGTTATTATATATTTTAACACTCTGTAATGTTTGATTTTTTGTATAATAAGCATTTTTTTATTTAATATACACTAACTGAACGGCCTGCTTCGCACGAGTGTACATGTATTATATATATAAATTTTCCTCTTGAAAGACTGTATCTATTGCTGAAAACTGCATTAAAATCCGTTGCGTAGTTTAAAAGATCTAAGCGAACAAACAGCGAAAGCGACATCATTTTATACTAGATAAAGATATGAAAACACATATTTCTCATATTTGTTTTTTTTTAACATACAATAACAATAGTAATCTCATGACAATACACAACACTATCTAGTTCTAAGTTAAGCTAGCTAAAGCTTGTGTTATTGGTACTAGATAACTGATACAAATACATAGATTTCTTTTCGTAAATACATACATTTTATATATAGAAAACACACAGACCGATACAAACAATCATACTCATGATTACTAAAGTTTTGCACCGTGCGAGGAATCAAACCCGTGACCCTCGGAAGTAAAGCGGTGTACTAAACCGCTAAACCACAGTCCGTCAAATACTCTTCTCCTATTCTATAACATATCAGAAGACAGATTAATAATTTGTATGATATTAAATTTGAACTTGTGTTCGTTTGTCCACAGTGCATCTACGGTTGCTACGTGCACTCCGCCATTCTTCCTACATTCCACAGGCGTTGCTATTGGCTTCTACAGGTAAATGTTTATCTATCTAATATATGTACTAGCTATTCTCGCGACTTCGTCCGCGTGGAGTTTAACTTTATTTTTCTAAAATAAAAGTCCTTATTACATCAGCTACCTGACAAAACAAGTCCCGTCAAAATCGGTCCAGCCATTTCAGAGAGTAACCGAAACAAACTGATAGACAGACAAACAGACAAAAATTGTAAAAAATGTTATTTTGGTGTATGTACCGTATTTATATTCATATGCATGTAGTAATAACTGTTTTTTATTTAAATATATTACAAACAGACACTTCAATTTTATTTATATGTATCTATATTTATTTACCTTCATGTCTGGTTATATATGTGGGTAGAGAAACGTCTGCCAATAGAGATAGTTACTTATCTTTGCTTGATTATCTTCTCTTATAGAATATCTTTATATATAAAAATTACGTGTCACGTTGTTTGGCTGCGATGGACTCCTAAACTACTGAACCGATTGCAAATTTGATTTTGATCCAACTGGAAATATAGGATAGCTTACATATTAATTTATAGTCACAATTTTATTTTATTCGAGAACCTTAGACATATATATATTTTATTGAGTTGTTGTGCACGACGCACCTCTTTATATATTATATGTTGTTACCTATTATTTAATACTAGCTGCACCCGCGACTACGTCCGCGTAAAATGACGATACTTCCATATAACCTTTCATCTCTCCTTTCAGCCCCTTGCAACCCATTTTTCCCATTAAAAAGTATATCCTGTACGCCTATGTCCTTTGTCAGGGCCTAGACTATCTGTGTACCAAATTTCATTTAAATCGGTTCAGTGGTTTCGGCATGAAAGCGAGACAGACAGACAGACAGACAGCGTTATTTTCGCATTTCGACACCAGCAATTTATACTAAGCTAACTCGAATTTTCAGTAAATTGTTTTTTTATGCTAAACTGCGTAAAATGGTGTTTATATATATGTATATATTGTGTTTTTTATATATAATAAAAAAATTATTAAGAAATATATAAAAATAAAGAAGTTACTGAAAATTCGAGTTAGCTTAGTATAAATTGCTGGTGTTGATTTATAATATTAGTATGTAATATTATATTATCTGTGATATTGGTAAGGATAGAAGAATATATATGGTAATTCTTGTTCTGTTACTGTTTTACTTTTGTACATAACATTACATAATTTCTTCTTAAAACCCGTCTTTCCATAATTATATTTACCAGCCCAATATATATACAGTATTTCGTTCACACTTATGATCATTGATACAATAATAATGACATAAACATTCACTTTATTTATAAATAAGATATAATTATTATAAAATTATAAAATAAATTATAAAATAAATAATAATTATTATAAAATTAATGAATGTGTGATAATAGTGTTTTTGTAGAAAAAACTTAAAATACATAGCGCTGACAATATTATCTGATTGCACTAATAATGAGTGCGTAACGATTTCTATGTTGATTATTGCATGCCTCTTACTTGTTACTGTGTATTGCATTTAATTTTTAAAGCTAGAACGGTAAACCCTATTTGTTTTTGTTTGCAGATTTTTTTTTTGTCATTGTTTTGTTTTTTTGAATGTATATGTCTTATTTGTGAAATAATAATAATAATTTTTTTTGGGGGTTTTGAGTTTTTGAGTTATTGTCATATTGTATTTTCAGAGTTCGCTACCTAGGTCCGTTAGGGACAAGAATTAAACTAAATAATAATTAATCTAAATAATTAAAAAATCCTATATCATTATTTGTGAGGACAAAATCGCGGGCGTAGCTAGTATTTGTATAAATTAAAAAAAAAGTATATTCAATTAATGATGCATGCAAAAGAAATCCACCTTCCAAAGCCGCAAAACTTTTAAACGGATCCCAGCCACCTCGTCGCCCCAATGAGATACGCCTCTTTGATATTTTACTCGTGGAATTGATAAAACTCCAGCGCCCAGATCCAATATTTGTGATATATCCCCGTTGAATAGCTGTAATATTAATGGAATATCCCGGAGTTTCCCGATTTATACCGTATAAAAGCCTTTTGGGAGTGTTGCGCGCCAAAGTTTTTATTGAGGTTACCAAACTGATTCCAACTGTTTGAATCTCAAATATTTATTTTAAATGTGATTTTTCTATTGGACTAATGAAATCGGATTTGAGATTTGTATGTATACTAGCTACTCGCCCCGGCTTCGCACGGGTGTACTTTTTTTATATACATGAACCTTCCTCTTGAATCACTCTATCTTCTAATTGTTGTAAGTGTGTATGTATGTATGTATATATGTATATGAGTGTGTGTGTGCATATGTGTAAAGTGTACAATTGTCAAATGTGTATATGTAATAATGGTTGACAATAAATGTTTTTCTTTCTTTCTTCTTTCTTTCTTTCTATCTATTAATAATAACGCTTCAAAATCCGTTGCGTAGGTGTAAAGATTTAAGCATATATAGGGACGGACAGATAGCGACAGCGACTTTGTTTTATACTATCTAATGATTACTAACTTACAGTCAGTACAAGCTCTTAACATTTGGTGAGATTTATGATAATTAAACGATAACAATAAATAAAACATATATATGGCGTTATCATTTATATATAAAATCTTATTAATATTATAAACGCGAAAGTTTGTGAGTATGGATGGATGTTTATTACTCTTTCACGAAAAAACTCCTGAACGGATTTTGATGAATCTTTACAGTAATATAGCTTTATACATCAGAATAACATATAGGCTGTAAATTTCACTCGCGTAAAACCGCGGGCACAGTTAGTTCATATATATTTATGTAATTATTGTTTATAAAATAGCAATGTAATATCTATTACCTAACGTAAACAATGTATGGATAAAGTATTACAGAACCTTACTAATTTAATATCTGTTGGTTGTAAATAAAACAATGTATTCTGGACCCTAATGACCAGTAATTAGAGTCTAGAATAGATTGTTTATAGAAGCGATGATGGTCACGCGTCCGTTATAAAATGCCATTTGTGAAATGCCATCAAATCCGCAACGGAAATGCCGTCGGCTAATTGAATTTGTAATGGCCCATTGCACCTCCATACCGCACAGCGAGCAAAAGAGTGTAAGTTTTAATTTTCAATTTTTATTTTTCAATCGAAAGGACGGTTGCCAACAGATTACAGGGTGAAGGAATTATAGATTTTCTTTACTTTCTTGAATTTTTGTACGTTTCCTCAATCGATTACAATTTTCAAAGTCGTACGTTATGTAGAGAGAATTCTAATGGATTTGTTAGAAAAAGACTATTATAGTATAATATAATTCACTCGCGTTAAATGTATACTCTATGTGATCTGTATACTTAAGAGCCTGATTATTTTTTAATTTATTGAAAAAGACTATTAATTAATAAATTTATTCAGTAGTGTATAAACACTACTGAATAAATTTTAATTAAAGTTTAATTAAAATATATAGTGTTTATATATTCTATACATAAGTATATGAAATATATTAAAGGTTACGTTTATTATTCCAGTCTCTTTCTTCTCTTCTCTCTAAGATATTTCAGTCCGATGAATGAATATTTGTTAATGATGTTGAACTGGATTTTGTATTAAGTTAAAGTTTCTGTACTTAAAGATTTCTGATTCCAGCGCCACAAGCTTTGAACTTAGTACGGGATTGCTGCTAAAACATTTTGTCTATAATCATTGATGCAAAGTGTAGAAATAACTAAATAATTGCGTAAGGTTTTACAACAAACTGCCAGAGTCTGTACTCAGTTTGCCAGAAAAAAGATTCTGAAATGTCTTATAAAACATTTCCTTTGTAAGAAAGCTTATTATAAAATTGAAGAATTTATAACAATGTTTTTGTAGAAAATATGTAACTTAAAATTTATAGCACTGACTACATTATTTGATTGAACAAATTATTTGATTGTCGCATGATAAAACAACATTTATTTAAAAGAGCAACACACAAGTTTCATGCTCATTCATCTTATGGTGAGTCTGCGTTCCGAATGAGTGGTAGAATAAAAAAAGTGTGACTATTCAAAAGTACTTATTAAGTTTATTTGAATAAAAAATATTTTTATTTCTATATTTTTTTGTGAATAAACACACTTACACTCATTCGATTCTGGCCGCCAGCAATTGCAGCGTAACAGGTGTCGATGGGCCGCCTTGGCTTGTGTGAACTCCGATAGATATTAGTGGTTTGTTGACTCTACATCGATTTTGTTGGCAACTCGCTACAGATAATAAAATTGATGCCACGCCAAAGGGAATTGAAACAAGTCAAATCTTAAGTTACCTACTAGTAAGACCGGAGGAAGTAACTTTCTGTTACAAAATGAACATGTATCAAAACTTTTTGAAATTTTAATGTATGAATTGGTAGAGGTTTTATAATATGAAAAAATAATATGTATTTCTTTATATTTATTGGTTTAGGTGTATTGTAGTATGAATATATTGTAGGATATAATATTATCTATATAATATAAAAGTCTGATAGTCTCGCTAAAACTCGAGAATGGCTGGATCGATTTGAAATATATATAGAATCAAATGTAAGATAAGAAATTACAAATAAATTTACTATTTATTTGTAATTTCTTATCTTACATCTTACATTATTTACATGACAAAATAAATTATTTCGTAAATAAAGTTATAAAGGGAAATTCATATTTTATATATATTATATTTCATAATCCTATAGATTGAAATAATAAATATACGTGTGTAAACGTTTATCGTATATCAAGACGGACAGTATTCTATGCGGCTTGAATTAACTTTATAAGTTTAATTACAAAATTAATATCTGAACTCACTATAAATATGTGACAACAAATAAATAAAACGTTTATATATCTATCCATCTGTTTGTATGCCTATCAATCTAAATACATAATTATGTTATTTTTTAGTTTCTGAAAGTGCTTCACCATTTTTTCCAGTAGTACTGTTTGGTAATTATTAATTATTGAGTTTTAATATATTATTCAATTCTGACGTAGTGGAGATCTTTAGGGGAGGCCTATGTCCTGCAGTAGACGTCTTCCGGGCTGCAATGATGATGATGATTCAATTCTGCCATAGTACCAAGTTCATCTGGTATTTTATAATACATGTTTCCATATAAAACATTATCAACTACTTATATACCACAACCACTGTTGCCAGTTCGAGTGTTTTTCTAAACTTCAACTTACAAATTCTGAGCGTGACAATAAAACGGCAGGGCTGCCAATTAAACCTTTTTTTATTGCGCATGTAAATTTTATGACCACTTTTTACGGATTCGGACGTTTCAATTTAAATAACTCTCCTTAAACCTTGATTTATTGTTGCTGCTAAATTATTTGATAGATACCTACTTGTTTATGATCTTGTAATGTGAACACGAGTTTTATATTTATTAAAGATAGGTTTGAATTTGATACATATTGATTATATGTAAAATGTTGGGACACTTGATACGGTACGATGATTTTATGATAATTATTATTGAGGAAAAATAGAAGGAAAGAGGAGTAGGGGAGGCCAAGGCACAGATACAGCAAGCAAAGTGAAGACAAAATGGGAGTCGTGTAGTATTAACATTTAAAGAGCATGATGGAAGGTCGCGGACAGTGGCAACAGCGCCACCGACAAGAGCGTGGCTCTTAAATTATGAAATAATGAAGAAAGTACATTTAATAATATTAAATGACTCGCCATATTAATCAACTTGCTCATATTTTTACTGAGCGGAGGGCGAAGCAATGAGCGATCAAATTTGCATTCTTTATAACGATATTCTTCAGAAACGGCTTGACCAATCGAGACAAAAATTTCATCATAGGTAGTCGACCTATTATGAAATTTTTGTCTATATCCGTAGATCTTTTCGGGGCACATAGGCCAACGGTAATTAGAATTAAATAAATACGTTAATTGAACTTTCTTTGTCTTTAAAAAAACTTATAACGGACCGTCAGAAAGTAATTATCGAAATATCGGGGGCTTTGTAAATATTTCTGATAGATAGTGTGTGTAGACAACCACAACGTGAAAAATGTATCATATAATGTTTTTGTTGTTTTATGTAAATGGTAAATCTAGCCAAAGGCATACTACAATACAAAACAGCATGAAAAGAAGTTTGAAAAAGTTATTTAATGCAATATAATAAGTTTTTGTTGTTTTACAGTGAGTTTCTGTTAAAACAATTAAAAGATGTTAAAAATCCCAACAAGCCGGAAATAAAATAGAAAACAAAAGTTTAAGACAAGAAATTAATGTAAATACACCTACGTATATTTACATCGATCGAAAGGTGCCGGCGTTTTGTTCTACTACCAACATTATAATGTTTGGCAAAAAAAAAATACCTCTGGTAGGTTTAGACTTGAGACAATAAGGCGTATCAATTGGAAGCACCTTTTACTTACTTATTTATAAACACCTTTTATATCTTCATCAAATTGTAGATTGTCACGTCGATAATCTGATGACGTGATTAAGAGGCTTTCTACATATATTTACATCCATTATTAATTTACAAATATAGTAGTTTTTTTTTCAATCAGGTAACAATTCACAATAATATTGAATTAATTGTCATTGCGTTAATATAAAATATAGCATTACGAGCTGATTTCCGTTGACACCTTCTCCTTTTTTTAGATAGACGTAGCTTGTATCTCTCCTCATATACCTCATCCATGATAACATTCTATTTTCATTCCAAATGTAATTAAGATCCGCTTATTAAAAGATCACAAACAACCAGACAGACACACTTTTATAATATTATTTATTCATCAAAGTTTTAATGCATAAATGAAAAATGAGCATATGGCGGACTTAACACATTAAGGCATTCTCCCAGTTAACCTGAGACAAACTGAGATTAGGCGGTAAATTTAAGTATATAATATGAAATATTGGTTATTATAATATTAGTATTGATTAAATTTAAAACTATTAAATTTATTTAATAAATTGAATCGACAATTTCTCATTTCTATGATTAAAAATTTAAAATCTAAATATCTAATAAATCTAATATACAATTGAAAGTTTTTGTCCTTCTCTAGTATATCATTAAAAATACTGTAATAAAGTGAATTTGTTACTAGTTACTTTTTATGAGTAAGAATGAACATCTATTAAAAAATAATCTTTAATGAAAAATAAAGTTACAAAATACTATAATAGTTAAAGTGAACTTATTAGTAGTTACTTTTTATGAACAAGAACGAACGTCTATCAAATTTGTTCTGTCTCTGCATAAAAAATAGTCCTTCATGCTATAACTCAGACAAAGATAGCAATATTTTTTATACCTCTCTTTGATTGTACAATGGCGTCATACATTATTAATAAAAGCTATTACTTATTATATACTATTCGTGGCTTGTTTTTGTCACACAAGCGGCAAATAAATAGTAACCGAGTAAAAGATATACGAGTCAACATTAAATATTATTGTGTACACACAGAACAGCCCTCTACAGCCTGTTAGCAACGTATTCACATGTTAACAAGGAGTTAATGAAAAACCACAATAACTACTATAAAGCACACATGTCGAGTGGCAACCCTGGCCAGCGGCCATTACATAAATAATGGCGCCATGTTTATTGCCGCCATTTTGAAGACAAATGGATAGTTATTACGGTGCACTCCGTTTTACATTCGTTCCTCCCGTTGAAAATTAAAATATTGTGTATTACTTATTTTATACGTTGTTTAACTGCGTCGAGTCGATTTAGTGGCCGTTTGTTGTTGTAGGGTCATCGCGCAATTTTTTTTATTGTAGTCCATTTATTCAAGAGTTACTCAAATTTTATGTATACGACGTCTGCCCACGATATCCGGTGATAATGACTGCCCGGAATTAAAAATAGTCTACGTCCTTCTATATCCTGAATACTACATAGGTTATTTTTTATTTTTTATTTATTTAGAGCAACTTTATCGCCCATGTCCTATGTGCCAGATTTTATTTTATTTATTAATATATTTCGGATATCCATCCATATTATGTTATTAAATAACTTATAAACTACGTTAGTAAAACACAGTATATATCCTTATCTCTCAATTTATATATCTATGTATATAATTTGAGAGATCCAGATGCACTGGGTCCGCAGCAGCGCAATGATATTCAGTGCCTCTGAAGTGGACAATCTAACATCAATAATTTGCTATAGCGATTAGGATGCTGTTTGCACTAGTGATAAATAGAATACCATTAAGTCGGAACTTTAAGGAATGAATAAATAAAACTACTTTGGTATTTATACTATTAGTTAGTATTCGAATTGAACAAGTTCTTTAGGTTAGTAGGCGTGCCGCTGTCTATCATTTTAGTTTCCTATTATAATCCAAGTAAAAAAAGTAATATCGAAATAAAATATTTTTAACTAGTTTATTATTTTAATATGTATCTTATAATATTTTAGAAATATTACTTAACTACAACTCTCTCCTCTTTTAATAATGTTGATTAAAATTAAAATATTCTATTTATTTTCTACACCAGAAATAATATAAATTTTTGTGTTGTCAACCCTATAGTAACTAAATAGTTTCAAGCCCTTCTTGGCTGTTCTGTCTCTGTCTGTTCTCTTTTGTTTCAGTTTTATGAGCTCTAGTCTGGCTCGTTATTCCACTTTCCTACTGTACACAGTGGCCTTTCACTAAATTTTCACACGTCACTAAATACGTATTTTACGAGTTTTTGTACTTCATTTCAGTATAATATTTGTATAACAAAGACTTGTTCATTTATAATCGAGTTATAATTTTTTTTTTGTGATAATACACAATTTTTTTAATAATTAAATCATTAGAGCTTTATAATTGATTTTTATTATATGAATGATATGGCAAAACAAACCAATGACCAACATACGACAACAGTATATGTGTATATAATAATAATAATAATATCTCAAGAAAGATTGTTCCTTTTTAAAAAGGTCGGCAACGCACTTGCAATTCCCCTTATATTGCGGCTGCTTATGGGCGGCGGTAGTCATTTACCATTAGCTGAGCCGTAAGTTTGTTTGTCCCCTATACTATTTAAATCGGATCAGTAGTACCGAAGATTACCCTCCACACCCAAACTACCTCCTTATAATATTAACTAGCTCCGCGCTCCGGCTTCTTCCGGGTGTACATGTATTATACATATAAACCTTCCTCTTGAATCACTCTATCTACTAAAAAACCGCTTCAAAATCCGTTGCGTAGTTGTAAAGATTTAAGCATACATAGGGACAGACAGCGACAGCGACTTTGTTTTATACTATATAATAGATGCACATGCTTTTTCTTGGTTAATGAGGAATCTATAATAACGTTTCAGAATCCTGACATCGTGCTAGTCCACTACCTCAATGTGCCATACCCTGACGATAACAAGCTGGCGGCAGTGGCACCCAGCCTCGCGCTCTGGGCAGACAAGAAAGAATGGACGAAAGACGAACTAGTCAGCCAGTTGAAACCTATGTGTAAGTATACGATATAAATTTAATATACATAGCTATCAAGAACTTTACACCTCTTCCTACACCGTGCGTTTTTCTAGAAACTTTTTGCCACACACAACTGCATTGTGGAATCGCTTTCCAGCAATGATAGCATTTCCGAACTGATACTATATGAAAATCTGCAATAAAAAAACCTATTACGATATATATAAAAAAAGCCGGCCTCTGTAAAAAGCCGGCAACACTTCTGCAAATTCCCTATTGATGTAGGTGCGCATGAGCGGCTGTAACCACTTTTCATCAGGTGAGGCGCAAACTCTTTTGCCCCTATGCTGTAAAAAAATCCTATATAATTTTAAGAGTTCCTCTATCTTCTGTTCATATTTATACGTATGTTTTTATAACAAGAGATTATTGTAAGACATTTTAATGAAGTTAATATGATTTTGTCTTTCGTGACACTTATTTTTCCTTTGCATTTACTATATATTAATAAAAAAATAATTTATTTTCTGTTCTATGTATTTATTCTAGATTTAAAATAAACTTGTTAATCTTAAGTAGAAGTTACTATGTATTATATTTTTAATTAATAAAAACTTCTCTTAAGGCATAATACGAGAAATGCCTGTTAAGAATTAATTTAATGACAAAAGTGCTTGGCATTAGTTGTTCATGTGGCGAATATTAGCGACTGGATTAAAATTTAATATTAGATATATACACTAACTAAATGTTGTTAATATTAATATCGTAAATTTAAAATATAAAAATATACAATATGTTTTAAATACACATTATAATTTTGAATTCACTCATAAGTATTTACATCGTAATATAGAAGAGTACTCTAACTTCTGAAACCTGTGTTTCAGTATTTTCTACACGTTTCAGACGTTGGGACTTCATAAATTATTTGTAAAAAATATGTGAACTAATTATAGAATATTATTTAATAAAAAAAAGATAGTAATTTATGTAACATTGTGAAAGCTTTCACTATAACTACCCCACAATGTTTATGTATACTTAAAGGTTAGCTGGTGGAGATTGCCAAACGACATTAAGTTTGCCTCATGTACAAGTTTTATTATGATAGATATATTTTGAGTGGATTACATATATAGTAGTAAATATAATTTACTTCGTTCCGATCGCAGTTGCACGTTACATACAAACTGTTACTTAGCAACAATACTTATTTTAAATGTGATGGATTATACTTTTTCTACTTCAATCAATGTGCCTAATACGGTCCCTTAATCCATTACATTTAAGACATTCTCCATCTCTACATTTAAATAACATACATAATATAAAACAATATACAGAAGAGTAAACAATAGAACTACTAGCAAAAAACATATCCAAAATTAAATCTGTTAAAATACTAATAATTTCTGTTGGACCTACAATACTTATTTTAAATGTGATGGATTATACTTTTTCTACATCAATCAATGTGCCTAATACGGTCCCTTAATCCATTACATTTAAGACATTCTACATCTCTACATTTAAATAACATACATAATATAAAACAATATACAGAAGAGTAAACAATAGTACTACTAGCAAAAAACATATCCAAAATTAAATCTGTTAAAATACTAATAATTTCTGTTGGACCTAGTATAATTTACTTCGTTCCGATTGCAGTTGCACGTTACATACAAACTGTTACTTAGCAACAATACTTATTTTAAATGTGATGGATTATACTTTTTCTACTTCAATCAATGTGCCTAATATATTATGCATCTTTACTTAATACAAAATGAAGTCGCTTGCGCTGTCTATTTCCTTAAATCTTTTAAATTACGAAACGGATTTTAATACAGTTCTTAGCAAAAGATAGAGTGATTCAAGAGGATGGTTTATATGTATAACACATGTACTATGTAATGCCGGAGCGGGTAACTAGTTATGGAATAAATGAATATGTCCGGCTAAAAATATTAACGGAAATCTTGATACTGATCTTGATAATAATGGGCGTTACTGATAACAGAAATGTAAATAAAGGTTTACATAATATTAAATATTCATCAATGTTAATAGTAAAATTAATAGGCAATACGGAAACTCGAGACCCATCCTGAATATTTATGAAATGGACAATGAAATTAAATTTCATTATTCATTAATCTATCCCACATAAATATTGATAATTATTTAACGAAAATTTATTCGGTGTTCATTATTAAATTCCATTATTGGCATCCGACGCCGATGGAGTTTCGAAATATTAAAGTCGAAAGTTACCTTTTTTATTTTTACGCAGTAATTGGGTTCTCGTTCTTAAATAATTATTTACTCAATATCAACTTGTTAACTTTGCAAATTCTTTAACAATATTTTGAAGTTATACTTATCTAATTACGTGAAATATAATGAAATACTCAGTGTTTCCCTCTCTGACATACGATGTACTCGACTCCCGCGCGGTAAATCCATAGAATGCTAAGAAGCTTGTCTCTTTTTAACCGACTTCAAAAGATGAGGAGATTTTCAGTTCGCCAGTATTTCTTTTTATATATTATAAATGCGAAAATGTCTCTACTTGTCCGTTTGTTATATTTTCATGACTAAACAACTTATTATTTTAACAAAAATTGACGTAAAGGAAACGTGACGGAAAGATACATTGTATAACTAGGATGTAGGCTATATTTTATATCACAAAGTAGATGCAGTTGCTGATATTAATATTTATATTAAGAAAGTACTCAGTCCATATACTTTGTCATCCTTTTGTCATATAAATTTTAGAAAACATGATTATCACAAATTTAGATCTATTCTAGATATTTCCCCAGACTACGGATTATTTTTTTTAATAAACCTTTTTTGTTTGAAGTTGTCTTATTTGGAATATATATTTTATTTTCATGTTTCAGTCTTCAGCGAAGATGAGCACGATATCAACAATGAATTGGAAATATCGGTGAGTCTCCTCATAATTTAACTAAAGTAGCTAAGTATTTTAGAGAATTAGATGATTTCTACAATAAATAAATGTTAGGGCAAAATGTTTCAGACGACGGAGACGGTGGAAGCAATCGTCGGGCAGCTGATGGAGAAACAGCGGGCTGCAAGGGCTGCGGCGCTAGCGAGGCAACTAGAGTGCGGTTGCCCTGATTCCACTTGTCAGGATTCAAGAACTTGCGCGCATCCTTTACGACGTATACAAGCAGCGAAGCCTCCGCCGTCAGACCATCACGTTTCTTCAACAACTGGCCCATCACCACGACCCATGTCGCAACCACCACGGCAATACACTAGAGATCATAGACCATCCGCGCAACCAGCTTCTCCATTGCTAGTTTCTCTTGGCCAAATTCAAGGAGGAGGTGGTCTTTTAATTTTAAATGGAACGAGTAACGCCGCCCAGCAACATTCGTCCTTAGTGTCTCCTCTGTCATTGACGTCGTTTGTATGTGAAGAGCCCAGGGATAGGTACCGGCAACAATACAAACCCACATTCGTTTTGAAACGTGAGGTACCTGATAGTCAACCGTCTTCGTGTCTGCACAATACGGAATCGACGTTCGAAGTAGAAAGCCAAATAGAGGAAAAAGTAGAAATTAATTCTTTTGATAGGAAAATTAAAATGGAGCCGAGGAGTAGAAACCATATGGTTGCTAGTGCACCAACTACCCCGTCTAGGTATCCAGATTTAGTAGAACGATTAGAAAGTAAAGTTATGACGGAAAACTGTGATGATACATTAGTATTACTTGGTACAGATGGAAATTTAGGATCTAGTGGGTTCTTTGACGAAACTTTGGAATTATCACATGAAGACATACAAAAGACTTTATCAGCTAATATGCCTACTTGTGAATTAGATAGAAGCGGTGTGAGGTCTTCCGATACGGCCAACGTAATGGTGTCGGGGATAGATACAATGGACTTTATTGAAAGTTGTGAGGCAGTGGCATCACCTACACACGTAGTAGATGATAATGTGTTCGTAAATCTTGACGCATTTGATATGTTAGGAGATTTTCCTGAATTGGAAGTGCTAGATCCGAGCACAATATCAACGCATCCCTTAGTAAGTAATCAATATTATTAAGACCTTAAAGAAATATAAATATACGACACAGACTAAATATTTATGGTTTTAAAAAAAAAAATACAGTAAAATAATGCAAATTAATCATTTGCATTATTATACTGTATTGAATTTTTTTTTAACGCTAATATTTGAAAAACAACTAGGTAGTTTAGTAAATTTAAATTTTATTTTAGTAAATGATTATTGATCAAAAGCTGAAAGAATAAATTAATCCCGGCTTTCTTAACTAATTGTCCTGTATTACAGATATCCTGTGAGAAATCACCTCCTGAAGAAAAAATGCAAATGGACTGCAGTGGTGAGGGTGCTCTCAGCATTACTGATTATTCACCAGAATGGGCTTATCCTGAGGGCGGAGTGAAGGTCCTAGTGGCCGGACCTTGGACTGAGACCTCTGATCAGTATACGGTTCTCTTTGACAACTTTCCTGTGCCATCGAAGTTGGTGCAGAATGGGTTACTTCGATGCTATTGTCCAGGTAGATTAAATATTATATGTTTAGAAGAATTATTTTTAGGTATCCTAGTGGTTAATATATCGATTTATAGCCAAGAGTTGAAAGGTGTATTCAAATTTGGCTGACACAAAAATAAAACTTTGTGTCTATTTATACTTCTGACTCAGATGAAGAAAACACCGATACCAAACTATTTCAAGAGAAGACGGTATGGTTATGTTGATTTCAAATGTACTATACATACTTATCTATTTGTTTTTAAATTCCTATTACACTCCTTTCGCTTACATAATTATAAACAAGCATTTTAAAGATAAGAAATGATTGTTCATTTGTAATAGATTAAAAAAATGTTTAATTGACTTTAAATTGCTTTGACCTGTTATTGGGGCTATATTTTACTTAGGGATCTATAATTTCATAGATCCCTAGAATAATTGCACCTATGAGAAAAGAAATTCGAGACGGTTCATTAGTAAGTAATATTAATATATAATATATGTATTTAATTGAAAAGTAGTAGAATCCACTATAATTAATTAATGTTTAAAAATTGGTTAATTTGATTCTTTTCAGCTCACGAAGCAGGTTTAGCAGCTCTTCAAGTCGCTCGTGGAGGGCGTGTAGTTTCTGATACTGTTACATTCGAGTACAAGGCAGGCCCTGTACCAGTCCCTTCATCTCCGGCTTCTGCTCCGTTGCCATCGCTAGATTTTAGAAGGTTTCTACTGCTCCAACGGGTTCAGCGTCTTAATGGCCGGTTGCAAATAAAAAATGAGCCTTTAGATGATAATCAGGTAATGACTCAATTATAATTGTGTTTATTTACGTGTGAAGATAATTTTATTTGCTTATAAACAATTACATTTCATTTAAAAAATATATCATTGTTATACAATGTGGCACATTGAAGCATTCTATCCAAGATATTGACAGATTTGCCTCTTTAAACGTCCATAATTTTATTCTGCCTCAAAATCACTACCAGATCTAGAGTAACTAGTGACCTCGTAGAGCGTGTTGCAATATCTGTCAAAATCAATTTGGCTTTTGGGTTCCATAGCCCCAATATCTCTACGTCGAATGGTAAAAGCCAATACGACCTCTTCAGATTCGGGTACCTTTTTAAAACTGCCGCCAACGTTATTGCCGTATGATTGTGTACAATTATTAGACTTCATTATTATTTTGTTTCGATTAGTTGTTGAATATATATACATTTTTGCTTACAAATCGCAATACCATAAAAAAACTATTTATTAGAATTCGAGTATATTTATTTCTACGTAATTTTTTTTTTATCATTCTTATTCAAAGTATTTACATAAGTTGCCTTAATTACGTGTAATATAATATAGTATAATAATCTTTTACTATTCCCAATTTCAGATCGAAGACGTTCAAATTTATTCGAATCCAAAATTTGAAGAACGACTCGTTACCTTCTGTCGATCTCTCAGTTCAAGATCAGTTGGCCAATCCGAAGGTTTTACGATGGATTCTGAAGAGGATGGCTCCACGATACTGCATCTTGCAGCTGCATTGGGCTATACGAAGCTAACGATAGTACTTTTAAGATGGCGACAGGATGATACTAATTTGGCCTTAGAGAAAGAAGTCAATTTAGGTGCGCGAGATAGTGATAATTGTACGCCTCTGGTGAGTATTCCTAATATTTTCTTCAAGATATCCAGTAAAATAAGCATATTTTATTGTGTGTTTTGCTGTTTCTGTAGAAATGCAATAATATTTTAAAAGCCTAATCTCATGTTTGAAGGCTACGTTGGGAGATTTGATGGTTGGTTTGATATTTTTTTTTAAGCACTACTACTACTACTAATACTTTATTTGACGCACGGTACAAACGTTTGTATTCATGAGTATGATTATTTGTATCGGTTTGGTTGTTTTCAACGTATTATATATATATATATTATGTCTTTAAAAAATGTATCTAAGTATATATCAGTTGTCCAGTTCCTATAACATAAACTTTGTTCAACCTAGAACTAAATGACGCTGTATGAATTGTCTAAGGATATTATTAATATTATTATATATTTTAATCAGAAAGCAGTAACATTTCACCGTAATGTTGCAACATTATAGATGGTAGCAAGTGCAGCTGGTCATGTAGAAACAGCAGTGGTACTGGCCCGATGGAGTGCTGGCACACGCAGTGAGGCTGGAGCCAGACAAGCTGCTGCTGCGGCCAGGAGATCTGGACATATGGCTCTTGCTGCATTACTGGATAGGATACACCCGCCGCAGAAAGATGGCGTATTTCTAAGACCACTCAGGTAAATGGCATTTTTATAATTTTTAACGGCTTCCGTTGTCTAGCGGTTTGGTCTACTCCGCTTTACTTTTATTGAAAGGCTTCTATTCTTGGACGATACAAACATTGTATTAATAATTATGAATCTTTGTATGCTGATCTGCTCTATTGTCATATTCATGATTGAATATTATGAATATGATAGAATCATATACATATTTATTATAGAAGCATTATTCTATTCTATATTGTTTACATAAAAACAATCAATTTTGTTTCACTTTAAAAAAATGTCGATATTAAGATACACACCATAAACAAGCAATCAAAATATATATTGTATTTTATACAAATTTTAACAAGTTAAATGAACTGAAAAAAATGTTATAAATACTCAATTAATTCTTTTAAATTTCTCTTACTTCCAGTTTGTCACAAAAGAGCCGTGCTGGTAGTCTGGAAAGTAATCTCGTCAAGCGACCATCCATAGACAGTGGTATCAACATGGCGGATGCTTTCCGATCTAGTTCCGCTATTGATAAAACTGATAATATTTCGGCACGGTGAGCAACAGTTATTTATTTAGCAGTAGCTCTACTTCACTCAGACTCTTAAACTATTTTGTAGCGAGAATTTGAGATTATAAACATATTTTGTAATTGGTCTTGGAAGCTACGTTCCTTGAACTAAGGAAGATAAGTAATACTTAACATTTAAATATTGGGACTGTTAGAATTTTTAATATAATATAGGTATCTTAGACTTTGGACAACGGTGACTATCTCACGTACTTCGTTGGCATTCAGCTAGCTTTGTAAGTAAAGTTTCAGTTGAAGGATGATATATTGCAGAAAAAAATAACTCTGTTATCGTAAATGTAGTTTAATTTGGTCAGGTGATAATTATCTAATACGGCAATTTCAATTCTTCAATATTAAATCTTGTTCCAAGAAGTTCAGTTAATAATAATAAATAAATTTGCAACTCAAAATCTAAATGTTACAGATGGGAAAGGAGCATGTCATTACCCCTAGACTCTGATACATCGGAAGATAGTCTTGGAGATTCGAAAATCGGAAGACGCATGGACCTAGCTCTTTGTAAGTTCACAATTATTTTACACCATTTTCACTCCATAGTCGATTCGATTTTCTTTTGCTGATTTATTTATATCGGCACGGCGCCTGAAATTTCGGAGGTTTATTGATAAAATTTGATATTTTTGCTAAGATTGCTTAGAACGTCAACTGTGGTATTGGCATCGTCGTCATGGGTTATTCTTATTAAGCGCAATGTGTTCTAATTTTCTTCGATAATACGGGCATATTTGTAATGTGTTTTAGCTTCTAATCTTCTTTGATTTAAACGATTATATATAATAAAATTATTCTAAAATTATGTGTTCAACAAAAAACGAAAATGTTCAGAATGACAAAAAAAGTTTAACAAATAATAAAAACTTTTTGTCATCAATAATATTTAATAACGCAAGTAAGTAGAAAGATAATTATAATTAGCGGTTCTTAATCTATAATAATACTAAGGTACTAATAAATAGATAATGATTAATTAAAATAAACATAGAATTACTGAAATATTATGGGGTTATGCTTAGTTATAATTTTCAAAAAATCGATGACTCGAAAGTAAAAATTATTCGAAGTCTCTTTGCCCTGCTAAGAGTGAAAGTAGATCTCGGAGATACCCCGTTGCCCAAGTATATTCCGAGGAAATTCTAGAATAAGTACCCTCGGAGAAATAAGCGTATTCTTAATAAGAATGAAAGAGTGTAGGCAAGCGAAAATTAAGACTATGAGCATAACCACGTGAAGACTCCTTTACCCCGCTGATGATGGAGGTAGGTCTCGGAGAATACCCCATGTAGTAGAAGACCGTACCGTACTCCGGGGTTATTACCTCGGGTCTCTAGAATGGGTGGCCCTCGTAGGCTGTTTTAGGATTCGCCCCGTTGCCTTAGTATACTCCGGGGCAATTCTAGAATGAGTGCCCCCGTAGGCGGGTTTAAGAATCGAAGGAAAAGAAGTGAGTTCGCGCGGTGGTGAGAGTAGTCCATGTCCAGGCGAGACGGCGTGGCGTCGCGCCGCCAGCCCGCTCATTGACGTGGAGACTCTCTCGGACTGCTCGTCGCCGCCGCCGCGCGCCCCCCGGTACACGCTGGTAACTACCATCACTGGACGCCGCACTCCCGGCATTCGGACGGCAGATTGCAAATGGTGTAGACGCTAGGAAACTGTTCTCAAAACTGACCCTTGAGCTTGATCTAGTATTTGAAATAATAATGATGTAGAAGAGGAATTGGTTGTAGATAATTAATTAATATATTTTGCATTTCTTTTATTGGAAATGCGAAGAAACAATGAAAATAAATTTTGTGATTTAGTTGTTTATTTGGAAAATTTGTTTGATGAATAATAATTATGAGTTACTTCAAATTATAAAGATGTCGAAATGAAAGATATAGTCAAATTAAATAACATACACATATTTTTCAATATTTACTTTGTCCATTTCTGTCATAAAAAATTGTAATGAAGGAATATCCGAAATGGAAAAAATGCAAAAGTATATTTTAAAAAAGTAATTTCGACAACCACCCCACCAGGGAGTATCCCTGGTGGGGTGGTTAAGAAATATGTTTTTGTGTTTATTTATATAATAACAAAATTGTAAATAATTAAATTTAATATCAATGACAAAAATTTACAATCTTATGAGATGTCTGCCTAATACTCATTAGGCAGACATTATAATATCTCACAAAGTTTTACACATTTTGTTCTGAATGAATTATTTTCTGGTTGTAAAGTATAATTAACAATACCGAGTATTCCCCTTCAACAAATTTGAACTTATCAAGCTTAAAATATTTATAACTGTTAAGCAAATATAAAGTTTATTGGCAATGACAAATATGAAACCAATTGCTCTATACCATTTCAACGGCAACTACCCTCCGCTCGTCCAATTTATTGATGTTGTAATTGTAGTAGTTGCATCACCGTTCTGGCAGCTCGTTCCTCTTCTTCTAACATATTATATTGTCTATACCTTTGTCCTGTTCTGTCGCCAGTCTGTAGCCCTGAACGTGAACACTGTATGTCGGTAGACCACTAGTAGTTCTTCTATATTCGTATCCTACCAAGAACGGAGATCCCGTTGTTTGTATTAGTATCCTAAAAGCTAAACCGACTTTATTCTTTTATTCAAATTGTAACTCTGTGTATATTGATTAATGTTTTATTTTAAAAGTCATGAAGTTCGGTTTGGCTTTCTCGATGTTGTCCTTCGATGTCGCTTTCATTGGTTCGTATCGGTCTATCCACTATCACTCCACTCTCAAACATATTCCAATCGATTGGCTTATTTACCTCTTACAGTTCAATACACTTCAAGACAACGTTGCTACAAGTCAGTACACCATTTTCAGTATCAGTAACATGGACAATATTAAACGTGACACGACACCGCATGTCGGCTAAACTGCTTGCATGACTCAATATTTATATTATGGAAGCTTTTTATGTGTAGTTAGTTTAATTATTGGTTGGTAGTTTCTGTAGCAATTTGTTGTTATTGCGTGGAAACGTTTTAATGTTAGTATATACTATAGAAGGTAAGTTTTATGTACCATAAGATGTTTGTTCATTAATGATTTTCACATTTATGTAATAATTGATTTCTTTAATTTAGTAATGTGTGTGTGTCTTTTTTTATTTTCTTATTTACGAATAAAAAAAATTAAGAAAATATATATTTTTATATAATTTATGTTCTCTGAAATAATATAATTTGATCATAACTGGACTTTTTATAAAAATGCGTACATTAAGAGGTAAGTTTGAATTAAGCATATGCATAACCGTAAATTTTAGCATAGGCTTGAAATAAACACTTAAGAATAATTTCTAGTTAAGCAACATTTAATAAATTATAATTTCTAGTTTAATTAGTTGAATCATATTTTATACATTTGATTGCAAATCGAATGGAATAATGCATATAAAAGTTTAAGTAAAAATTACTACATATATAATAATATTAAATATACGTCACATATAGATAAAATATCTAATAATCATAGTTTTTTGTTTCTACTATGATGATATAGTTCCAATAATAATTGTCATATATCTTTGAAGTATAGACAGCTACATATATAATATATTTTTAATATATGAAAGGATGTAATCATTAATATTAGTTCAGAGAATTAATTTTACAGAAATGTTTCAGGGGAGCAAGATGACCGTGTATTCACGTTGGCGGAGGAAATAATTGCAGCTATGCCTGATAGGATAAAAGTGAGTTAATAAATCTGTATATGAATATAATAAACATCATCTTCAATTTGTTCCTTCAAAATACAACAGTTTCAGTGGTCTAGTGGTATAGCATACTGCTTTACTGTCTCATGGTCGCAGGTTCGATTCCTCGCACGGTACAAACATTTGTATTCCTCAGTATAATTGTATGTATAATTCATCATAACATTTAGTTAATGTTGTGATGAATTCTAATGAATTTTTCATTGGTGTTCATTATAACAATTTAATCAGAACATCACAATTATCATTCTCAAAAACCTCTGCATTTATATTGTTAATAAGGATAATTGTTGTTGTAGAACGAGAGCTCATCACTGCTGACCGGATGCGGATTGGAGTCTGGCGGCGGTGGGGGTGAAGACACCCTCATGGGACCTCTTCTGGATGATTCCACTACCTTCAACACCGAATTCACCTTGGAAGTCTCTGATAATACGTACAGGTAGTCCACTATGCTCAGTTTTTAATATAAAAAAGGCTTTTTTTTACAACGTAGGTGGCAAAGAAACATACGGACCATATGATGGTAAACGGTTACTGTAGCCTATCGACGCCTGAAACACCGGGGGAGGCACGTGTGCGTTGCCGACCCTTAAAAAACCTTAATATACCCTTTTTGAAAACCCCATACTGTAGTCTCTCGAGAAAACCTCGTCAAGTAGTGCATTCCACAATCTTAAAGATGACTTCTCACCGAGCAATTCCATCAACTGGTGCGTGTCCCATATTTCACACTGGCACTTGCTTGCACGTCATGGGTATAGCCACGGTGGGGCAGGGTGAGGTGCTTGCCCCATCCTGGCTCTGGTAAAGTACCTAACAAAACCTAAAGTAATAAATAATCCTAGTACTAACTAGCCATATCTAGCACAGTACTATTATAGGTATAAATTTTCTACTCCAAAGTCTGCATTATATGTATATACCATCTTTTATGTTTTCACTATTATTTAATTTTGTATAGGTTAATATTTTTAGTTCTCATGTTAAGTGAATAATTTGTAATTATTAATGTTATTATTATCTAAAAACCTAAACGTAATACTTAATATCCGTAAGAAAGTTTATACTCGATAGTTGACACAATAAATAACATACAGATACAGACTGCTATAGAGTGTAACAGTTTTGTATGAAAACATGAATCAAGGTAAAACTGCGGTTTGCTAGTTACATAATATTTTAGACTGCTATCCTGCCCTGAACCCATGCTCACCATAGCATTGCTACGTCCATGCAGCCCGTTGAGTTTCATTTATTTTAATTTTTAAGTTAACACTCTTAGTGCCAAGACCCTAAGTGACCGTTTAAAAAAATCTATAAAATTTTTGTAAAATCACCGATTCCAAGACCATTTACATCGCAAAAATGCGACAGGCCATTCATTCATTTCATTTGTATAACAGATATATAGAAAGTATGTTCCTAAGGGATACACGGCGCATTTACTAAGTAGATAGAAGTGTATACATTTGAGTATACATACAGTGTTCCAGACACTGTGTGACAAAAATATACACATGGCGCCTAAGGTGTTAAACTAATAGTGTTAGTGGCGAACACGACTGCGAGTGTTTTAGCTCGCAGTCATGTTCTCGACTATGGGGATATAGTAATGGTTAGGCTCAGTGTATATGAGGCCGCATGTCAACATCTTCCATACGATTCGTCTAAGTATGTGCGGAAGTTTTTAATTTAACCATTACAAAAAACCAACAGGTAGAAGTAGATATAGAGAGAGATGGAGTAATTGAAAACCTTACATCGTATACGTTTAAAAGAAAATAGTTGGTATTAAGATTATTATTAAAAATACGTGATAATTTGGAAGAAGAAATGATGAACTAAATAAATAAACTTAGATGTCTCATTCCGACGAAGATTGAAATTACGATGATCTGAGTCTTCACCTCGAAAGCCGGTGCCTTTAGACTAAAGTCGTATCCGTCAGGCAGGAGTTAGCCTTCAGCCGCTCCATAAGTCATCCTGCGGCTTTTGAATGCCATCTGTTCTGCCACTCGTTCCCTATCGTTCGGTGTAGCTGTAAAGGCCAGCTGTGGCCAAAAGCATTAGTATAGATCGAGGAAAAAACATTGTTTATTAAAGAAATGTCAGTATTAAAGCCACAGATTACATATGATATACATAGTCTTGTTGGTTTATTAATGCAACTTGGTATAAGTTTGGTTGGTTTAGCTTTGGTGGTACCAAAAAGTCGTGGAATCAAATATATTAAGTTATGGTTAACTTGGTTTCCGGGACAGCGTAACATTTACTTCACTACTAGTACATTTATTTTTGTTCTTATAAGTCATCACTGTACTATCTTTAATATATTTGTTATAAATTCGAAGTGAACATGTTTGTTAACAGGTACTGTACTGCGTTTCGTTGCTGTGTCTGACAGATGGTAATTTTTCCCATGCTCATCAGTACATTTATTTTTGGTCGATATTTTGTATTCACCAGGATCTGCATTGTCACATTGTCACCACCTCCACCATCACCACGACCAAACTCGGTGTCCGCTTCATCAGCAACGCTGCAAGAATTCCTTAACGCTACGCACTTTTCTAACTTAACGCTTAATGGTAAGATCCTTTGGAATGGATATGCATGAGTGATATCGTGGTGCCACATGATAACGTGATGTCTGTAGTTCTGTTCAAATCACATCAAAAATCATTTATTCATCTAGGCCATTTTAGACGCTTATGAATGTCAAGTTTTTTGTTATGGAATAAATAATATTTTTTTCTATATCGTCCAGTTCAGTATACAGTTTCATTTCAAGAATTGGCAAGAAACTTAACTGAATTTCTTTTTTTAAAGCTAGTTCATTACAATATATACTTAAATAGGTGTTTATGTCGAATATTAAATGAAAATGCCGAGCATGAACACAACTATTGCCATGCTCGTTTGTCATTTAAGTGATCGTTTTAATAAGTTTTGCTCAATAAATATGATTTATCAGATATTACATAAAAAAAATGCTTGTAAGTATTTGAAATAAGAATCATTTGGTCCTTCTCTATATTAAGTTGAATCATTTTCAAAATCATATTTTAAATTTAGAATGTATCTTGTAGATCGCGAACAGCGAGAGCTATATTCAGCGGCGATCACGATTCAGAAAGCGTACCGTCAATACAGAGGGCGGCAGTTGCAGCGCCGCGCTGCAGCCGCTGCTATCACAATACAGAACTGCTATCGTCGATATAAACAGGTAGAGTTTATAGAATATCTTAAGTGAGATTTTAAAAGTCAGAAAGTGTATTCTATAATTGCGACCGAGAAGTCATTTTCTTGTAGTGAGATAATTGGCTATATGACATTAATTCATAGATAGAAACAATATTTTCAGAAGAAAATATATTTTCTTTGTTCTCCCACGAATAGAATGCGACGCATTGAGTAGCATTGTAAAACCGAGCCCCCTCCAATTCAAACTGGGATCCAAATCGAAAAGCGGTACCCTCAAACTAAAGTCGTATCCGTCAGGCGGGAGTTGGCCTTCAGCCGCTCTATAAGTCCTTCCGCGGGTTTGCAGTGCCATCTGCACTTGCCCCCTATCGTCCGTTGAAGCTGTAAAGGCCAGTTGGGGCCAACAGCATTAGAAAAGTCCGAAAGATTTTCCATAATTATGAAGCACGGTGAAGGTTCCCAAGCAGTAAGGCTTTGCCCAATAGTTTAAAGACACAATTGGATTTTTTTAAGAGCTGTTTGCGTTCTTTCCAATTGGAAGTTGGAACGGTCTTTTCATAGTGATGATGAATTTGTTAGCAGCAAAAATTGTGTAATTTCAAGCATAATATAAATTGTCAAATCAAAAATATATATTACTATAACTATAATGATGCGAATGTTGTTTGTGTACAGTTCGCATATCTGAAGCATATGCACGCAGCGGCAACAGTAATTCAACGCGGCTACCGTCTAATGCGGGCACGACGGCAGGCAGCCAATAATACACCTATTAAGTAAGTTTTTGTTATAAAACAAATAAAAATAGAATAGAATAAAATGGAAAATTGTTAATTAAAATAAACTTAAGTTTAAGCACTTTTGAATAGTCATACTTATTTTTAATCTACCGCTTATTCGGAACGCTATATCATCGCAAGAAGAACGATAAAGAAACTTGCGTGTTGCCCTTTAAAATAACTATAGTTACTTTATATTTTTAAGTTGAAATGTGTTATTAACCAACTAGTGCTATAATTCATTAGAATCAAAATAATAAAATGCAATAATTATAAGTATCAAAAATTAGGAAATCGATTCTATTGTTTCAACTTTACAGTTGATTTCTCAAAAATATAATGTTTGAGTTAATACTAAACAGCATTATTACACATGTGTGGTACATAAAAATTTGAATTTAGAAAGAATTGGTATCCGATATCCTATTGTTTGTCAAAGAAGCAATTGAAATCTAGTTCCTAATTTAAAAAATGTTGATATTAAAAACTGGATACTGTAATGTATCGTTTAATTTAAAAGAAGAACACAACTTATTCTATTTTTCTTAACTGCCAGTACCTATTCATAACTCTAAAATAACTAAAATGTTATGAAAGTTTTACTATTGTAGTGTGCTTTTTGAAGAAACAAAATTATTTTCAATCAAGGGAATAAATTATAACTTTTCTTACCCAGACGGACATATTCCCAGCGGCGACAAAATCAGGCGGCAAGAAAAATTCAGCAATTTATGAGGCAGTCTAAAATCAAGTGAGTATAGACCTATATTTTGTTAGTCAGATTTTCTAGATTTTTAATCCCTAATGTATAGCAAAGGAATAGTATTATAAGTTTAAATGTTAGGCTTTTCTCGTGTGTTTGGCATTACAGTTCCTGAATAATTGAACTATATATATTGTTGTAAATTTGACGCAGTTATTTAAATACGTACAGTTTTATTTCTTTTATTGAGTTAGCGATGTTTTGACAATGTTACAAACGCCATGATCCATGGACTCTATTTAGTTTAATTAAACAAAAACAAAAATTGCGTTCAGAAACTCTATTAAGTGTACGTGAGTATACTGGGAGTATTGTTTGCCGAGATGAGTATCGAGCGAGTTTCAACAGTAGCAACAAACGAAGACGTGTGAAGATAGACAAATGAGTCTGCCCATAAAAGATTTATTTACTACTAGCTGACCCGCTAGTGGTAAATAAACTTCTGACTACGTCTGCATCACACCTACTTGACATTTATTATTATATTTCGTCGAATTTACAGAATATGTGTTATTCTGATATATAATTTCTTGCTGAGTTCTAACTGAAAATGATGGATTTTTAAGTATGACGATATATTTTCACCCATCGCACCACTTTATAGATTAAATTGTAATATCATCATTGCTTTTTTATAGGTTTAAACACAGTTTACAATTACGATATAGGTAATTTTGCTAAGAATATTAAAGTATAGAAATACTACTTTATTTTCTAGTACTAATATAACTATATTAATACTAGAAAATAAAGGAGTTTTTCTATCGCCGAGCACTATTTCGTCTGTATCATACTTACTTGACATTTATCATTATATTTCCCAATTTGTATAATATATTTTTAAATTATTACCTATGTGTTGCTCTAATATATAAGCTATATTATTGTAAAGTTCCATTAAAATACGTTTAATAGTTTTTGCGTGATAGAATAACAAAAATATATACTTACAAACTTTCGCGTTTATAATAATTTTATTAAGATTAAGATAACCCGCAGCTGTTCAGTTTATCCATGATCATGGAGGTTGAGACACGGCCCAAATATCGGGAACTCAATAAAAATAAATAAATAAAACGCTGTAATATCCGTAATTTCTCCTAATTGTACGTATAACTGAACTAGTTTTACTGATGTACTTTATAAAGTCATATGCTTGAATATTTTGCTCGCCTCAGCAATTGTCAGTCAGCTTCATTTGTGAGCTGTGTCCTAATTTAAACGGTGAGATATGGTAGTAATATTACAGCGTATAGAGACAATTTTGGTATCTGGAATATGAATATGGAATAAAATGACGTAAAATATTATGTTATTTAACCCTACAATTCCCCTACTGTTGTCCACACGAAAAGTGGAACTATTTTTTTTATACAATAATTAATTAAACTCGATTATTTTTGTCCATAGGATATTTTTTCCATAGGCAACTAATATCAATATTTCACTGAATAATATGTGTTTCATTAACATGATGAAGAGCGTATTGAAAAATCTTATTTTTCACATAAGGACTGACATTTTTTTGTTGTTAATTACGTATATATTTTTATATGTACAATATATATATATATATATATTATATAATCATTTGAGGTAGACATTATTTAATCCCTGGATTTATTTCAATAAATTGACCACAGGTGATCTCTCGATCCCAACGTGTAAATTTACTTTCGTTGCGGAGTGACCCACTCGTGGGCATACGGTCTTTAACGTGTTAAGTTCGTTTTTTAATTACACGTTATTGAAAACTCGATTTTCACCAAAAAATGTCACTCATTTGTATTTCAGCAAAAGAGCAGCACTAGCACGTGTAACAGTTAGTGTTCCATAAATATCGGTACGGTAAACTTTAACCGGTTTTTTTTACATATCGTAGAAATGCCGATATTTCTAAAGCAAATATAATTGGTATATACGATAATAGATCGTTTTCTACGTTACGAGCACGAATGTTAGGGAAAAGTTTCCGATATCTATTTGTATCTATCTGTCTGTATCTAATTTTCCAGTGCCGTGAACACGCTTTATTATAAGCCTATCCTTCCGATATGTTTGTTGGAATACTTTGTGTGTTTGTGAATTGTGTTTACAGTTATTATTATTAGTGACTGAGCTGGCGAATTTTCATATAATAGGAATGACTATTTATTTATTTATTTATTTATTTGCATAAATACAAAATATATTCGCATGTTATCGTAACCTTGAATAAAATAAAGAAAAAATATTCAATAATGTAACCTAAAAAAACAATGAAAAAAGTTTCATCGTTCTAGCTTCGAACCGCGACCATCGGAAGTAAAGCGGTGTATTAAACCGCTGAACCACTGAGGCATGGCTATATAAAGTGTATATACATATTTACACTTTATATTACGTTTCTTATTTAAGTAATCAATAATCAATAATAATATTTATACAAATCAACAGTGATTATTCAGATGTAGAGGCAATTCCAATATACTATATAAAAAAAAACTTATTTTTAAATATGATATCAGTAGATCCATATAACAATCACTGAGCTACGGAAAGCCATTGATTATAACAACCTAAAGTAGAATATTCGTATTTCGATGGAAGATAAAGTTTTGGGTATCCGACTTTGTGAAATTTTAATAAGAAAGTTATAATTTCTTGCTGAGTTCTAACTGAAAATGATGGATTTTTAAGTATGACGATATATTTTCGCCCATCGCACCGCTTTATAGATTAAATTGTAATATCATCATTGCTTTTTTATAGGTTTAAAGAAAGTTTACAATTACGATATAGGTAATTTTGCTAAGAATATTAAAGTATAGAAATACTCCTTTATTTTCTAGTACTAATATCTATAATAGCAGCTGATCTGCGCAACTTTGTCTGCATCTCACTTACTTGACATTTATTATCATATTTCGCCCAAATTCCATATATAATTCTATATTATAGCCTATGTATAATTACTGTAAAGTTTCATAAAAATCCATTCAGTAGTTTTTACGTGAAAGAGTAACAAACATCCGTTCATCCATCCATCCATCCATCCATCTATACTACAAACTTTTGCGTTTGTAATATTAGTAAGATATTAGTAAGATGGAACCCATAATATGCTCTAATTTAACATACTATACTAAGTAAATTTGAACATATTAAGGGTTATTTAAGTATATTAAGAGTACATTATTAATAATAAATTCAATTATATTATATAAATTATTTATCTGAATTAGTTTGTTATCTACACAATCATTGTATATTTTTTTCGAACTACTCTAATGCTATTGGCCGATGCTGCCCTTTACAGCTGCACCGAATGATGATGCGAGTGCAGATGGTACTCCAAACCTATGGAAGGACTTATGGAGCGGTTGAAGGCCTACTCTGCCTCAGATACGACTAGTCTGAGGGCAGGGGGTTCGAACCTTGGCTCAGGCCGTCGTAATTTCGATCCCTGTTTGAATTGGTCGGGGGTCGATCGGAGGGTAGTACTTATCCCCTTAAACCAGCGCCAAACGAACGTATATCTTCACACGTTTACTTTAGCACACCCATGAGAAAGAAGGAGATGGTACATATTACCTTCTCTGTCATGCGTAAGATTTCGTAAACGTATTTAGAATTGGCATGACGGCCTATTATGTTAGTGATGGGAACGATACGGTCACTGAAACTGTATATCCACGGATATAAATGAGAATCATTGGGTACTAAATCTGTAAATGCGAATACGGATACGAAATTTTTATTCAGTTGGTGTTTATGGATTGGTTTATATTTAATTATTTTTTTAGTATTTAACTGATATATATATATACCTATATAGCTAGGATAATATACATATATATACATTATCTTAACTTATATGGATACGAGAACTTTAGTACAATCAGTTAACTATTTTGGTATCATATCTTCCATCTACAATATTTTTTCTGATTCTGAGATTTAATATATTTAGTATGCTATTGTTATCTACTCATATATATTTAAATTATACCCAGCTATTTCCCGTGACTTTAATGACTTTTAAATAAAAGATAGTCCTATGTCAGTTTTAGGGATACAACCTAACTTGGTGACAATTTTTTTGACATATTTGACATTAGTATTTACCATATATGATTGCTTAATGCTCCAATATATATGATTACTAAATTTCATGAATGAAATATTGATGTGTACCTACCTACCTACCACTATAGTTATAACTACCTCCTAATAATGTAGGAGATCGTGTTACTCAATGACAGTCAGTAATAAACCAGTACTTGTGCCTAACAGTTATTTCCATTACTACCGTATTACCTTATACATATAAAATATACAGACACATTTTAGAATTAATAATATTGGTACACGTATATATACGTAATGAAATTTAATAACGTGAAATATTTCGTGGATAACTGTGGATATAGAAACGTATGTCTTGCACATCACTAGTTGTTAGTGTATTGCTAAGGAGTTTTCTCTACTAGGGTAGGTATCCAATTAGGACGACCCTCTACTCTCATAATTTCAGTTATCCGGACCCTAAGGGACTCTAAACAACAACTAGTCGCCCTAATCAGGTCTGTGGGTGGCACTTGGAACAATATATATATATATATATGTATAATAGTTTTATTATTTTTATAAACATATTTCATTTTATATATATCAGTTGAATATTAAGTTAATTATTATTATCATAGTCTTTTATCCGTATCAAAATAAATTACACTATTTTTTGAATAACTTTAAAACGAAATATATTATTGTAGTATTGCCATCTTATTTACTATTTGGAGATCTGTTTGCCAATTGACAAAGACCTCCTCCAGTCGTTTCCAATTGAATCGTGAGCTAAGGTAGTCAATTTACAGAGTACGGTACTTTAGTCTTCTAAATTGGCAACACAAGAGGAATATCACGGTCGACCAATATGGATGATGTCCGTGACACTGTTTATCACATATATAAAAAGGCAACGCTTGCCAGTTGTCATCTGATGCCTCTTTTTTAATTATATAAATAATTGATCAATATATTTTTATTAACTATGTTTATTATAAAAATTACCTATTATATTTTTCATGCTAGCATGGGAAGAATTTTCCACAAACGTAAGTTTCCAAGTGATTTAACACAAAAATAAAAATTCTTTAATAAAATGTATATTTTAATGTACTCCATTAAAATGTAGTAACATATTTTTTCAGGTAGGTATATCCTTTGTTTATATATAATTTATTGAGCATAAGAGTTCAATATTAAATCCAGAAAATGAATGAATAAATTAAGTTAATAATAAATTTTATTTTTTTTGCTGTACCAACGTAACAAAATTGATCTGCTCCAAACTTAACTACCTACTAAATATTTACTGTAAAATTATGGAATACAGTGCATAAATAAATAAATATTGGTTAAGTCATAAGCTGTTAGCGTGATCATGTTCCTGGGGAAACCCAGGGACGAGAAGTGTCGGACGATATAGCCGTTTGCAGCTACACACTCATGGCGCCGTGAAGACCGTGCGCACATCTTTAGTTTCATTACATAGTGTTAATGTCGGGCTAGAGTAATAAACCAATTTATAGATCTTTCACAGTCTCCTCTTTTCTCCCTGATGCCATCAATATTTATTAGTATTATATATAAGCTAAGTCAATCTGTCGCTGGCAGGTTGCAGAACGCGCGAGTCGAAAACGTGAGGAGGCCCTGCGATCGCCGGATGCCCACCAAAGCTCGTCGCAGCGCATCATCAGTACGCCGCCCACTCCCAATAGGTAAATATCAAGTGAATGATTTAAGTATGTATAAGAATAAGTTATAAAATTTATATATAATTTAATTAATTGAAAAACTGCGGGAAGCCATAACATATATTTTCGCGGAGCAAGCAAAGCGAGATATAGTAAATAAATAAAAAGAGGAATAAGAAAAGGACAAAAAGGTTTTATGTATTTCATGTCTATAGATTCTTTAGTCAATGGTCATAAAGGGCAAAACTTAAAAAAATAGCTAAATATCAAATATATCTTAACGACTGCTATCCCATATGACGTAGACAGAGGCAAGACAAGTCCATCACCAAGTGTATAATTTTATGTGCAAAGAATAAATAATAAATTTATTAGGATTGTACTGTTATTTTATTTCATAAATAGAGTACTTATAAGCGTTCTATTTATGAAATAAATTCCTCTTCTGAACTGTATCTTAATACATTGAATTGTACTTTAAGTTAATTCCTCAAGTCTTATCTGAACAATTCCCAAGCGAATGCTCTGAACTGTACGATCTTGAAGTTTATTGCTAATGACTTTCTTCAAATAACTTTAAAGAAATATATTTACAATTGTTATATATTGAAGAAAATTAAATACCTTTGAAATAGAATTAATCCTTACTCAAATAGACTTTATGTAAGCACTTTTGAATGGTCATATTTTTTAGTCTACCACTCTTTCGGATAGCAGACTCATCACAAGAAGAAAGAGTAAGAACCTTGCGTATTGTTTATTTTTAAATAAATGTTGTTCTGTATTATATTTTTAAGTTTTTTTGTGAGTACAAACAGCTAAAGAGCAAAATTGACAAAAAGTAAATAAATATAATAGTTACTTGAGTAACATAATCAGTCACAGTTATTAGATCAGTCCCTACAAAGAGCACTCGTTCTTGGATATAACTGATTCAGCCATCACTACGCTCTACCATAATTTAGTAAGCTGAATGACCCGTCCCACCATGCCACCACTTCTTCTTTAGTCGCACCTCTTGAGTAATCGTGACTTTCATCAGTATCAGTGGATTCTCTTCGTTATCCTCCTTGGTGACAGAGCTCTTCACCACTAGTCTGGACATTTAAGTGAGCGACTAACTCGCACATTCACCACATCACAAAATTGAAGACATGTTTTAAGTAAAGTAAGGAATCAAATTTAATCTGAGTGAAGTTAGTAGGATCTCCACATACAAAATTGGATTTGAATAATTCAGCGAAATGTGGACATGTCAAGTTTTGCTTTCACCACGACGTTGACAGCTGATACTGCAAGAGGCATCCATCCGGTAATAATAGCAGATATATAACGATCGTAAGGGTTTTAGGATATTTATTATATATACTTGAAATAAATAGTAATTGAGAGCAAATTTAATACCAATATTACAATTGCGGTTGTTAAGATATATTTTTATAACTTACAATATATAAAAAGTGTATGTATCTTTATTATAATTTTGTAAAAAATCATCGTGTTTTGTAAGCTATTTCAAAGTGTGTAGGTAGTGAAATTATAGTATTTATAAGCCCTGACATGATGCCTGGAGGCATGATTAATTAGATGATATCTTGTTCATGATTCTAACCATATATATAAGCGGCAGTTGCCGTTTACCATCAGACGAGCCTTCAGTTTGTTTGTTTAAATAATTGTTTTATTGTCTTGTAATGATTAATTATAAACACGTGATATTCTTTTCTAGGATTGTCGATTACTTAGCCCCAGAATCGCCAATGAACGCCGACGAAGAACTATTACTTGAGACTTCTGTTCAAAATGTGACAAGCGCCCACTTCGATCATTAGGATTATCTAAATCTCTTCGTTTCTATATTAAATTCTCCTGAGTATTGTATTGGTACAATTTAGTGAGACGTACAGTCTGTTTATTTAAGTTACTGTATTTAATATTAGATGTTGGCTTTGTAACATTGACAATCTTTTGACATTGCCTTCGTGATATTTAATGCCTTCACTTGTCTAATATTACTAGTCTTAATACTACCTTGAGTGAGATTGTCGACATCGGATTTATTAAACTACTAAATTAGTGATATCTACAGAGAGTTAATTTTAATATCCTATATGACAAAAGGCGGCACGAAACCGTTGTGCTGAGAGATATGGTAAATGTATCTGTCACAATAGAAATCGATTAGAGATTTGTATTTGCTATGATTAGAAGATTCGATGATTATTATTACTTTACTAGCAAAGCTTAGTTTAACAAATGATAAAACAATCGAATGTATCCTTACGCATGAGAAAGACAAAGACACGGCCTTATTACAAAAAGATAAATGTTTAGCTGTCATTCAATGTATTCCTTATTACTATCTAATCGTGATTGTCTATGGTCAAAGTTAGACCTGCGATGCCCCTAGTTTAACGGTCTAAATGCATTTTAAAAAATTGTATTCGATTTGCTATTAAAGCTAATTTTACGACAATAAAAACATATAAAAGACGGTTATTCCATTTGACTTTTGTCGATCCAATAAAAATATCTCGCCGTTTACAACGACATTAATAAATATTATATATTAATGAAATAGTTATAATGAAGACGTTTATACATTTTTCTTTGAACTAATATTATTTTTGATCTTTTCAGTTTTCTGGTTGGAAGTAATTGTACGGTGACAGACAAGTGACTGATTTCTGTATGGAATACATAAAACGATAACTGTAGTACTAAGTTTAGTCCTCTGTTAGATCTGGATTCGTAATAATGTTAGGTTTATTCCAAGTATTAACTTTAGGAATGGTTTAAACATTTAGACCACGTTTCGTCCGAGTTTTAAGATTTGCATGTTGCAAGTAAATAAAAATTATGTTATTTTATTATTATTAGACTGAAGATTCTATTAGCTATTACAATTACAATTTTTCCTCTTTCAAATTTATCGTGAAGTGTAAAATATTTGCAGGCGAACAATGTTTTTGTTTTATTATTTTTGTACATAATTGTAACTTGTTAACTTAGATCGGGTAGTTTCACTCAGGGTAGCGCGTTAAGTGAAAAGAATACATCAATTATGGAAGCTATATTACCTAATGTACAGTCTCTGATAGTACCAAAGAAGTCCTAATTATTTCTTTCATTTAGTAGTGCTGTTTTACTATAATTTATAACATTATATAATATAATAGGATTTCGTTTATTTGATTTATTATTATATAATTGATGTATTTCTTTTCTTATATCTTCATAACAATTATACAAAACAGGTTTCTTCTCCAAAGTTGTGAAATAACTCAGGCCTTGTCTACTGAAATTTTAGCCGTTCAATTTACAACCGTATCTATTAGGAATACGAAATAATATTGACTTTCATAATTCGTAGTAAGCTATCTCCATTTCTTTGTATTTGTAATTTATTTGATGTAGACGTTTCCATTTCTCCTTGGTAGCTTGTTCAGAGTTAAGATTCGATTTTTTCTTTATTTTGAACTCTTCAGGTCATAGACAGGGTTATATTTAGTATCATTTATCGTATTTGTATTATATTTTCATAATGTATTTTTGAGATATTTGTTTAGGACATTTATTGGATTTATATTTTTGAAAACTCTAAATTGGATGTAATGTAACTTATCTAGAAGATTCAGTGTATTGGCCAATTTGTTCTCAAAGCGGAAATATAAATATACATGAAATGATTTCTCTTGAATATTGTATTAGAATCTGTTTGACTGTAATGGATATTTTCTATTGCGTAAAGACTAACATTGCCAAACGGCATGTTTGCGAGTTGCGTTCGTTGATTTGCTTCGGATATTAGAGTATCAAGGTAAAACTTGAATTCTAGATTCTATTGATAATTTCCAGATGGAGTTAAAAGTATGTAGGTTAAGTACAAATTCAAATTATTAAAAAAAGCCACTGTTCTTATAAAGTAGTTGCACCTAGCGTAAAATACATTACCCGACGAGCTGTGAGTATTTTGAGATTTTATCGTATTTAAGGAGATATAAAGTAATATGCCGTTATTATAGTTTGACTATCGATAGAAGTCAACAGTATATAGTTTCGTTTCAGCCTAATAGGTTAATTTATTTTTAGTCTACGCAGTGAAATATGAAGCCTTAAATATCATCGAACATCTAATCTATCTTAAATTTCCTGTAGCTAAACTCTAAATCTTATGAAAGCTTATCTTTAGCTCATATTTATTGAGTATGAATTTTTTTCCTAATTCATTATATTCGTTATTATTTTTAAAAGTTTCTATATACATATAATTATGTAGTTCCTATACTCCGGTCTTTAGTTTCACCTCCCCTAGTTCCTATTTCGAAACTATTGACATCCTTAATGTTACTATTAATTAGTTTGTTAGATAAAAATTTGGTTTTAGATCTTCGATAAAGCTAAATGCCATACTTACCTAGCGTTCATGAAAAAAAAGGTTGTGCACCACTTAAATATAGAAATAACTACCTAATATTCCCTTTTTCTGGATTCTTTGATATTTTAACGTAGTTATATAGTTTATAGATTAAGACTAGAGTATTAATCATAGCTTAACTATAAGACGACGAACAGCCGTCAAGATATTTTCGATTCGTATTTTTATAAGGCAAAAGTTACGAACGACTGCGATTGCTTTGCTTGTGCAGGGCCGGAACAGATTCGGTTTTTTTTGTCAATAAGATTATTGGGTTCATATACTTCATATTTTTTTATTGTTAATTCTTTATACGTAATTAATTAAAAGTTAACTTAGTTTTACGTTAAGTTAACAAACATTCCTACAACCGTTTCCTTGTTAATTAAATTTCGTGAGGCCCAGTATTGGAATTAGTAGGTAGCATCTGGTTTACTCCGAACAATATTAATTGAAATCCAGAGTTTTATTGTATTTATACACGGTGTGTTCATAGCGGTTTTACAAGGGTTTGATATTTTTTTTAATGGATGATAATGGAAAAGCGCTCCCGTTTATGCTAAAGGTATATGCTGGCGGGGCACTAGTGGTAGGTGATATATTAAGGATGAAGTTAAAGTCAGTCAACATATGGTGAGGAATTTACCAAATGTTACTGACGCTGATCGAGAAGTATAACGAGGAGGTTGACCTGATACATTGATAGCAATGGGGCTACTAGTCCCCATTACTAACAATCCCCTCCCCCTAAGGATTAGATATATGGCACTGAACTGAACGTGGTGTAGTAATGAAGTAATTTACAATTTATTAATGAATATTGAATCGAGTAAACCAGACATAAGTATTATAAAAATGACACTTTTGATAGATTGAAAACCGTCCAATCGTGGCGGCTTTTGCACCCTCTGGTGGCAGTACGGCAAAAGTCGCATAACGGCAACAAGCGAAAATAACATTTGATAATGTGATTATAGAACCGCGATTCGCTTGCATGGTCAATGGGCACCCGAGGGCGCGAGTATATTTCATATTTTTGGATCGCTAATTTTAAGATGTTATATTTATATATCTATATGTAGTGACGGCGAATACAATACCAGTATTTCGACACGTATTGCGCCAAAAGTTTTGATGTATTAATTTTCCATAAAAGTTATTCTCCCATTGTTTCTTTTGGAACTGATAAATAGTTCGTTTAGCTAGTGGTCATACGTATATATTTTTTGATAGCGTGCACGAATGCTTCATGAGCGCCAACTGGACGTGAAGAAAGTGTATTAAGAAAAATATTTTTAACTGTAAAACGAAACCTCCGAAAGCAATAATATTTTTGTGGTGAAGTTACTCAGATTTGTAAAGATTGTATTTTATTAGCCACGCGGTCGTCACAAAACAGTTAGTGGAAGCTTTATAGTGAGGACGTTGCCTGTGCTGCTTTCGATAAAAAAAATAAGAAAATTATAAAAAAAAAAGCACAATTTCGTGTTCATTTATGTCCGGCTGCATATTATTAAAGTTATTTATAAAAAAATCTGATGCCCGAAAAACAATTTACTATATAAATAGCAGGGCAGAAAAGAAAAATAAAACAAAATGCAAAAATGTCCTGTATGGTACTTTGGTGAAAAAAATCTGATATTTTTTTCTTACATCTAGATTCTGATAGAGTGCAACTTTACAGATTTTTTACAGATACAAAAGAAGCTTTACGATAATCGTCAGATTTTTTTTGACAATATACAGCCGAGTTTAGTCTGTTTCATAAATTCAATTTTTGCACTTTAGATCCTTTAGAATAGTCTGAAAATGTCAGAAATTTGCAAGTTCGCGGCAAATTACTTGATTAAATGACGTAACGTGCGCATTTGACGCATATTGCGCAAATTATGTAGTATTGAAATTATGCTCAAGTGATTTGCCAGTATATACAATACTAGCTGTTGCCTGCGGACTTGCATGCATGGTGTTGTTAAGCTGAACTTTTCAAAAATCCTTTTTTAGCGGATGTTTACTTGAAACTTCAGCTTTCTACATATAGTAAGTTTTGGCTGTGCATTGATAATCAATGAGAAATGATTTTATAAGTACAGATGAAGGAAAGTGCAAAGAATGAAGTTAATAAAGAAAATGTGGATATCGAAAGCAACACAACAACAGCAGGGCGTTAGCATTGACCACAGCTAAAAGATAATAGTGCACTAGAAGTAGTTATAGTTAGATGAATTACTACTTATATATAAAATAATAAATCTTGAAATCTATACATAGAATTAAAAATTAAAAGTTTAACTAATACTTTTTATTATTAATAAGAAGCTTGTTCACACATTTTAACTTCGTATCTAGTAGGTAGGTACTTTTAAGACTAAAACGATAGTTGGTATTGAAGATTTCTTGAGTGGTTCGCGGATG